GGTAGATTAGTCAATTGACTTCTGTTAAGTTATGTGCTTATGTGGCAGTCTTTATAGAGACTTCCTCTCCCATACTTTAGTGGGGGCAGTTTAGTCTTTATACTACTAATTAGAGCCTAATCAATATTAAGGGTCGGCTAATAGGGTTTAACCTATTAGGTTTGATTGTTCTTTCATCTTCTTCTTCTTCTTCTCCTCTTCTACTGGTTCGGACTACTGTAGCAACAGAGAAAACACCTCTAAATAGAACATAAAAAATTTCCACAAAAATATCTGAAAACCTTCTTGGACTGCACCTTCCTGCAGTTCAAAATCTTAACCTGCTTACTGCAGGTTACTCTGGTAGTCTAGAGACTACTCACAGCTTGTCTTGCCCTATTGGAGCATTACCAAACCTCTTCTAGGTTCCCTTGGATCTTCTCCCAAGGGAAAACCCAAGGAAGCAACTGGGTTTAGAGCACCACGAGCAGAACTAGGGTTTCTTTAACACCCTAAGTAAAGAAAATTAGAAAAAAAAAGAATAGAAGAACAGTGTATAAAATTTTGAATCAGTGAAGAAGATAGTATCAATGCTCTGATACCATGTTTGTTTTCAGTTCTATAGAAGAAGAGAAAAATACAAGAAATAGGCGGCACACCTTCTCCAGCCCTCCAAGACAGCTTTTATACTAGGGCAATAAGAAAGAGATACAATGACAAATCTGCCCCTGATTAGTAGGCAGTAAGAAAACATAAAAAACAAAGTAAGCCCAGGCCCATTTAGCCTAGGAAGGAAGTTACACAAGTAAGTGTCATGACATAACATAAACAGGCCCAAGCCCACAATGCTAGGCTACACAACAAAGGACGGATCGTGGCGTTTCTGCATTGACTACCGCGCACTTAGCAAAATCACAGTCCGTGACAAATTCCCTATCCCGGTAATAGACGAATTCTTAGACGAGTTAAGGCATGTATCCATATTCTCCAAGTTGACCTACGTGCAGGACATCATCAAATCAGAGTACATCCAACTGATATATCCAAAGACAGCCTTTCAAACTCAAGATGGGCATTTTGAGTTTCTAGTCACGAACGATGTCTTTAGACCCTATCTTCACAAATTCATACTTGTTTTCTTCGATGATGTAGAGAACACTGATGTGGGCCCCACAGCAGTGGTCCCCACTGTGTTTGTAGGACAGCATGTGTAATTATTTGTTTCAGTCATAGTAGTGTCAGTTGGGGTCAGTTTGTTATTTCAGTTTTTATTTACTTTATTTGTCATGTAAGTACTAAGGGCAGATCTGTCATTTTCTCTATGTACTGAACATAACCTATAAATACTAAGAGAGTGGCGGCGGCAGATGTATTAGAATCTGTCCCTCCTTTCAAACCCTTGTGTTCTCCTGTTTCTCTTCTCTTCCTTCTCCTTCCTTTCACTTTTCTTCTGCTTTTCTTAACCTAAAATCTATTAGGGTTCAAGACTGATTGCAGTCTTGATCTTCTCCTGATGGCATTCTAGTATATAGCCCTGACTGGCCACAACACTTGAAACATTTGCGGACAACACTAGAAATTCTCCAACAGCACCAGCTTTTTGCCAAACGATTTAAGTGCGAGTTTGGTCAAACTAGGGTTCACTACCTAGGTCATGTGGTTGAAAATGGTAGTGTTTCAGCTGATCCAGACAAAATCAGATGCATATTACAGTGACCCATACCCAAGAATATCAAAGAATTAAGGGGTTTTTTTGGGCCTCTCCAGATATTACCGTAGATTCATAAAAGGGTATGGATTGATTGCTGAACCCAACACAACTATTGAAGAAAGATGCATTTGTCTGGAACACTCGGGCCAAATTAGCATTTGATTCTCTTAAGCAAGTGGTCACTTCATCCGCTGTGTTGACGTTACCGGATTTCACCAAAGAATTTGCGGTAGAGTGTGATGCTTCAGGAGTTGGGGTCGGGGCTGTGTTGATGCAAGAGAAAAAGCCCATAGCATACTTCAGCAAGGCATTGTCTATGCAGGCATGTGTTAAATCAGTCTATGAAAACGAATTAATGGCAATTGTGATGGCAGTACAGAGTTGGCGTTCTTGCCTATTAGTAGGGGTGAGCACTATTCGGTTAAAACCGAAAAACCGAATTGAAAATTTCGGTTTCGGTTTTTTCGGTTTTTGGTTAAATTGGTTCAGTTAATTCGGTTTTCGGTTTTGGCTTTTAGAATTAGAATTTTGGTTAACCGAATTAACCGAACTTTTTATTATTATATGTAATATATAATATATAATATATAATATGTAACATATAATATATAATATATTATATATTTATATATTAATATATAGTATACTGAAATTTGATTTCATAATATATATTTTATAATATATAATATTATATTATATGTTATAATATATAATAGAGTATATATTATTAAAATTCGGTTTTAACCGAAATAACTGAAAACTGAACCAAAAATTTCGGTTTTTCTAAATTTCGGTTTCGGTTTTTATTTTTTTACTTCGGTTTACCGAATGCTCACCCCTACCTATTAGGACTCAAATTCATCATTAGATCAGATCATAGAAGTCTGAAATTTCTCGTGGAACAGCCAGTGCTCAGCCCAGAACAACAAAAATGGGTCTCCAAGCTCCTGGGTTTTGATTATGCAATTGAATACAAGGCAGTGGTCTCCAATGTGGCAGCTGATGCCCTTTCAAGAAGTCTAGAATTGCAGCCCACGATCATTTCGAAACCAGTCTACCCATTCTTGGAAGCACTGAAACAAGAAGCCCAGGCTCATCTTAGCTTGCAAAAACTGCGAAATGCGTGTAACCAGAATCTAACTACAACACCTGGCTACTATTATGGATCCCATGCTATTCTATAAAGGTTGGATGGTCCTTCCAGCATCATCGAACCTTCTACCTGAACTCATTCGTCTCTTCCACTCTTCAGCACTAGGAGGGCATTCAGGTATCTTCAGGACTTATAAATGCATTTCAGGCCATTATTATTGGCCAGGAATGAGAAAAGCCATCCATGACTTCATTTCAGCATGGTTTGTCAACAGTAGAAGTATCTAGCATAGTCACCGGCTGGAGTGCTTCAACCATTATCCATTCCCTCTCAAGTATGGGAGGACCTTTCTATGGACTTCATCTCTGGATTACGTCTTCCTCTGGTAGGTCAGTTATTATGGTCATAGTGGATCGTCTCACTAAATATGCCCACTTCATGGCACTATCACATCCCTATTCAGCAGCTATGGTTGCAGAAATTTTCATTAAGGAGGTAACCAGATTACATGGTGTCCCTCACTCTATTGTATCTGACAGAGACCTAGTTTTCATGAGTCAGCAGTGAATGATCACCTCACACAACGAGATCAAGCTGGTTCCACGCTTCTTTGATCCATTTAAAATCCTAGAAAATTGGTCCTGTGGCATACAAATTAGACCTCCCTTCTTTTTCTAGATTGCACCTAATATTCCATGTATCTTGCCTCAAAAAACACATCAGTGGTGATCTTGTTTACAGCTCCATGCTACCAGTTTTTTCTCTAGGTGGCATCCTACAAACAGAACCCCATAAAATTACCAACTTCATATGGGTTAAACGGAGTCAGCACATTATCAAAGAAGCAAAAGTCCGGTGGAACTACCAGCAGAAGATAGTACATGGGAACCGTATGATTCACTTGACGAAGAGTTTCCTCATCTCAACCCTGAGGACAGGGTTGACCTTGAGGGGGGAGGTACTGTTAGAACCACGAAGGCAATAGACCCAAGTTGCATCCGGGTTTATTCAAGAAGGAATCCAAGAGAGCCACGTGGGCATAACTGAAGTGTAACAATCAAGACTGTACAACAAGATTCCAAGATTTGATTCAGGGTAAGCCTATATAAGGCAGACTGCTAATAACAGAAGTTAATGTTCTCTCTCTCTCTCTCTCTCTCTCTCTCTCTCTCGCTTGTTCTCCCTCTTATGGCAGGAGGCTAGACACCTCGAGCAGTCTCTGATTTAGGCAGTATCTAACACTAGGACATCCTAATCGAGGACCAAGTGGCCACTTGAGCCCCCAATTTATTTTTGTGGGAAGACAACTGATATAGACTTGACTGATAAAGACTGTGAATAGTCTACCTTCTGATGTGAATTCAATAAGAAAAAAAGAAGAAAACTGAGAACAGAAGAAGAGAAGAGAATAAGGAGAAGAAAAGAAGAAGAGAGAATGGAAAAAAGAGTGCAGTTAGGCTAGACTTATCGCCCCACTCCACTATTTATATGTTTGCAATTTACAACATTAGTGTAGTTCCACTAATGCCCCTCCCGTCTATGTAAGTAACACAACTAACATAAACTGCCATAACTAACACAACTAACATAAATAACATAAAACAAAGACAAACATGAAGTGGGGACAACACTAATAATTATTTCTCTACATCTCTACACTCCCCCTCAAGTTGGGAATAGATATTAGTCATTCCCAACTTGTGTAAATCTGTTTACAACTTGATCTTTGTACCTTAGTAAAGAGATCAACTAGTTGCATATCAGAGGCAATATATGAAAGACACACTTCTTGAGAAGCAACTCTCTCTCTCTCTAATAAAGTGTCAATGCACTTCAATATGTTTAGTTCTGTCATGTTGTACCAGATTATTAGCAATGTTAATGGGTGGCTTGATTATCGCAATACAACATCAAGGGTGCAAAATTCAGGTGGTCATAACTTTTGTGTTGGTGATCTCCTGGTGAAAAGTTTTTGGTGGTGGCATTCCTTTGCATTTTCCTTTTTCCTAACAGTGTAAATTGTCCCCAACGATGGGTTCTCAGATTTTCTCTATCATAGTATTGTGTCTTTACATGATTTATTTTTCGCTTGAAGTGTTACCATCTGATGCTGTAGATCTATTATTAGCTGTAGAAAACTGGCAGAGATTTCTACTCTTGCTCTGTCTTTCCTTTTCCCTTTTAGGTACCTGGTATCCATTGAACTTATTTATGCAGGTACTGGATGTCTACACTGGACAAAATGGTTTACTTCATGGTGGGAGTCTCCTAAGACCATGGCTGTTGATAGATTCCTCCACAGTTGATCCACAAACTTCAAGAAGACTTTCTACAATCATTTCCAAATGTGCCTTGAAAGAAAAGAAAGGTTATGCTTAATGAACATTATTTCATCCATCTTCATATTTAGCATTTGGATCTTCGTATAGATTTACTTAAAAATAATATGCATGTTTTCTTTTCTTTTAGTATATTTTTTTGGGATAAGCACACTGCACTCCACATAAGAATTCTGAATTCCACTGCAGACCTACAACAATTCAAAATTTCAAACACCTCCACCTATAACACCAATACACCCCCTCCCCCCGTGTATTGGCATCAATTTCGAGCACCTACCCCAACTGTACAGTGGAGCTAAGATTTGTTGGGGTGGACTGAATAGTAAAAACCCATTTTTTTGGTTAATAGTTTTAATGGAATGCAAGCCCATCAATGGGTGTCTTGTTTGTAAGCTTGATTATATAAGTTATAAATCAGGTGCCAAGTTTGAGTATCGTGTCATGGAACAAGGAGTGGCTAATTTTTATGGTTAAAAAACCTTTTGAGTTGGGGTTCTAGCATTCAAATTCCATGTATTTATATTATATTGTTACAACAAGGCAGCCATTAGCATTGCCAAAACCCTGTTCTTCATGAGAGGACCAAACATTTAGAGGTGGACAAGCACTTTATTTGTATACAATTTGAGTTATCTGTGGTGAAAGAGTTGTTGAAAGTATCTAAGATGATGCTATACAAGCCGGGCCTTGGGCCTAGGCCAAACCGGGCCAATCTTTTTTTTTTGTTTTTTTTATATTGTGATTTTATTTTCATTTTTTGCTAAGTAAAGTGTTAAAGTGGTACAAACTTTGGGAAAAATAAAAATTTAACAAAATACAAAATAGACAACAAATTGGAAAAAAATGGAAATTTTATTTCATTTGAATTTAAACAATACAATAGATGAATGAAATATTGAAAATGGAATAAAATATAAAAACAATATAATAAAATTATAAATTGAAAATAAAAAATTACATTGTTGAAAAAATAACAAATAATTTAAATAAAATTGAAAAACAAAATTTACAATACTTTTAAAAATTCTATACAATTATTGAGTATACAAAAAAATGTTGACTTCATCATTTTTTTTAAGTTCCACCTACATCTCCTTGACCCTTGTAGAAAACATTGATGTGGGCCCCACARTTGTGGTACCACTCTGTCCGTAGGGTAGAATGTATCTAGTCACAGCTGTGGTTATTTTG